GAAATCTGCCAAGAGAGATTTTATTCTTTTTTTAAAAATTTCTTATAGCATAACTATGTACATTAATGCAATCATGGGGTACAGTGTGCAGTTTTCACATACATTTCGAAATACTCTCATCAAACTGGTTAACATAACCTTCATGTCATTCTCTTTGTCATTAAGTTAAGACATTCATACTCTGCTTTTAGAAACATTCACTTGTACCCTTGTAAGATAAACCATATAGGTGACCCCACTAATCACCCAGCAGGGTAGATTTTAATTTTTTGTATTATTATTTATTTTAACAGAGATAGTCTCACTTTATCAGTCTCAGTAGAGTACCATGGCATCACAGCTCACAGCAACCTCCAGCTCTTGGGCTTAGGCGATTCTCTTGCCTCAGCCTCCTGAGTAGCTAGGACTATAGGTGCCCGCCACAACACGCAGTTATTTTTTTTGTTACAGTTTGGCCGAAGCTGGGTTTGAACTCACCACCCTCAGTATATGGGGCTGGTGCCCTACTCACTGAGCCACAGGTGCCACCCAAGAGGGTAGATTTTAAATATGCTCGCCACACACGGAAAAGGTAACTATGTGAGGTGATGGATATGAAGGATATGATAATTAGCTTAATAGTGATAATTATTTCACAATGTATACATTTATCAAAACGTCGTGTTGTACACACTTTACTGCATACACAACTTTTGTCAATTATACTTCAATAAATCTGGGGAAAATTAAATGGGAAAAAATAAGTATATAGAATTGTTTTTCAAAGAAACATAACTATTGGAACCAACCAGCAATAAAATGCAATTACAATATCTAGTACTGAGAAATAAACTTTAAAATTGCTTGCAAAATGTGAGAATAAAGAATGATAACTTTCAGGAGCAGAATTTAATATTACAAATGTGGATTATATATCTACTTTAATTAAACAGCCAGAAATAAGCAACTGAATTACTTTATAAAGCTCTCAACCAAAAGACCACCTCATTCATTTCCATAGTCTTAAAACTTTGTACGTAGTAAGTGCTCAAAAAAATGTTTTAAATTACAATAGAACCTCCATAGTTGACCATCTCCCTACACCAAACACCTCTTTAAGCTGACCTAATTTTCATAGACCACACATACACCACATGCACATATTAGTACAGTGGGCCATGTTGCTAATGTTGACGATCTTCATATGTTGACCATTTTATTACAGTCCCTTGGTTGGCCAACTTACAGAGGTTCTACTGTAATTAATTTAAAAGTATTTTTTCAGAGCATAATAATGTCACCATATTATAAACAAATTATCATACATAAAAGTTTTAAACTGAAAGACTTGGAAAAAAACAAAAATCACGTACACAAAGTAAGTTTTAATACAGTAGACAAGTAATCCAGAGATGGTTACAAAAAGTTCAGTGTTTAAACACTTGCTCAAATCATAACTTTGAGCCTCATTTTCCTAATCTGAAGAATGAAAAAATGGTAAATAAAAGAATGGTAATACACAAATTCTAAAACATTTTTTGGTTTTACATTTTTTTAAGATTATACCTAGTAGTATGTAATGAACTCTTCTGTATCCTATACACAGAAAAACTGAAAATTTGGACAGTACAAAATATGAACAAATTATATGCATATTTTAAAATGTATATTTATTTATAAAATGTTTATTCACTAATAAATAAAATAAATTTATTTTTTATATATTTTATTTGTTACCTAACAACCATGATTTTATTCAAGTATACAAATTTTTTAATTTTTGAGTTATAGTAATACTAATTACTATACAGTTGTTAATCTTAAAGATTATGAATGACAGACAATATACAAATTGCATTATTTATAATTCAATTATATCAAAAGGATGTAGTTCAATGCTTCACATGTCTCTTATTTCTCTTTTTTATATTTAATTATTAATCTTTTCATTTTGATTCAAAGTAAATGAGTCATATATTACTACAGTCAACCTTTGGCTGCCCTTGGCATTTCAGGCTAACTTGGACTTCAATTTGTTTTTTACCTCACAATTTTTCAAGAACCTTTCAAAGGCTACTAAAAGAAGGAAAATGATTCCAGATGTTTTAAAAGTCAACGAACTTTACAAAAAAGGAATAAAGGAAGTAAGTATCTTTTCTCCTTTGTTTTCTGCACTGTAATCTGCACTTTCAAAGTTTGAGGTCTGATCACAGATGATGAATATTTAGAATTAAATATATATTTGTGTATTTGTATATGACTCACATTTTACATTTAATGTGATAGTCTGAAAGAATGATTATGCATTTAATTTGTTTTGCTGCCTAGCAAAACAATGAACTAATACTAAGACTATAAAAAATTAATGTAGTTTTCTAAGCATTTCAAAAAAGTTAACATTATACTAACTTGTTTGGATATATATGATCATTTTATTAACAGACATTCATGTGACTAATTTCCTTTATCTTAAAAATCATACAACTATGTTTGTTTAAAATGTTTTTAAAATAAAAATACGAAATAATGTAAAGAGAACAAGTAGTATACCTTTTTATATCATAAGAATAATCCCAAAGCCCTTAATAAAGTAGAACATATTTCATAATAGACTCATTAAAACATGTTAAGTACTTGTTGTGAATATCTTTAAGTACCACCTAAAATACCAAACTACTATTGTACAATAAATTGATTATCACTATAAAGCTAGAATGCTTTAAAGCCTTATTTATTCAAGGTGATCACTGGACCAGCAGAACCAACATCACTTGGGATATTATTAGAAATATTTTTTTTTCCTCTAAACAATTTTTTATTAAATCATAATTATGTACATTAATGCATTTATGGGGTACAATGTGCTGATTTTTTTTAATTTTTTTATTAGATCATAATTGTGTACATTTGGAATGCTTATATCAAACTGGTTAACATAGCCTTCACCTCACTTAATTATTGTGTTAAGACATTTATACTCTACTCTTAATAGATTTGACATGTACCCTTGCAATATGCGCCACAGGTGAGGTCCCACCAATTACCCTTCCTCCACTCGTCCTCCCCCTCCTCTTCCCTCCTTCATCCTGGGCTATAGTTGTGTTTTATCTTTCATATGAAAGTGTGGGTGATTATATATTGGTTTCATAATAGTACGGAGTACATTGGATATTTTTTCTCCCATTCTTGAGATACTTTACTAAGAATATGTTTCAGTTCCATCCAGGTAAACATGAAAGAGGTAAAGTCTCCATCTTCTGTTATGGCTGCACAGTAATCAAGAATCTCAGATCCCAGTGGCACTCGTAGCTCAGTGGGTAGGGCGCCAGCCACATACACCAAGGCTGGCGGGTTCAAGCCCAGCCTGAGTCTGCCAAACAACAATGAAAACTGCAACCAAAAAAAAATAGCTGGGCACTGTGGTGGGCACCTGTAGTTCCAGCTACTCTGGAGGCTGAGGCAAAAGAATCACCTAAGCCCAAGAGTTTGAGGTTGCTGCGAGATGTGATACCACAGCACTCTACCAAGGGCGACATAGTGAGACTGTGTCTCAAAAAAAAAAAATCTCAGATCTCACCCTTGACCTACTGAATCAATCTGTTTGGTTAACAAGACCCCCAGGTGATCCATGCATATTAAAGTTTAGGAATCACTGCTCTAAGGTAAAATTTTAATTTCTACTTCATAAATTATATAGCATTACTTCATATTTATTTACATTAGAAATAACTAAGATATCTAAACAAAGTTTAAGAAAATTAAGTTTGATATTAAAATTTCTATTTATGTATTTATACATGTACTTACCCAATACATTTCTTACTTATTTAGATAACTGATATATTATTAATGGAATAGAGTGAAAATAAATTACTTTTCCACAATTACATGCAAATCAAAATTATGCATTTGCAAACCCAAAAATGTTTCAGTGATTTAAATTTTAAAATGATTCCATTTTTTAAGAATCTCCTATTTTTATTATGGTAACTTTCAAATGATTCAATCAGCAACTTTCCATTCTAAATCACCTATGTCAGAATTCTTATAATTCTAAACTCTAGGTTTCCAATGCAATAAGACTTTCTTTTTCTAAAACAATTAGAGCCTTACATTAAACACACACACACACACACACACACACAAATATTATTTTGGAAATTCTAAGCTTAATTTTCTTCATGTTTTAAAACATAAGAATAAGAAAGATTACACTTCAATAAATACATTACTGTGGATATTTTCCAATACTAATTCCAGAAAATACCTGGGCATTTCCAAGTTAATCTAATATACAGTAATGTATCAGTTCCTTGGAGTGCTCTGGATGATGAGAGAGGTTCTTGAGAATTCTAGCACCATTCTAAGTAGAATATCAAAACTGTAGATTTCTTAAAGCATAAAACAAGATTAGTACAGTTCCCTAACAAGTTATGCTAAATACTTTACTTACTTAAGTACTTCTTTAAATCTGAGAGTTGGAGTAACTCTAAAATAACAAACAATATCATCTTTAATAACATTTACTGAATTGCTTTATACTTTTAGGATAAATCACAATTATAAATAAATAAGTTATTTTAATTAAAATATATGGAATTTTTAAAATTAGAATTATCTAGAAATAAAAGATTAAATTTTTGTATCACATAGCCAGTTTAAGGGCAATTCAATGATATACTTCATACTAAAACCTACAATAAAAATAATCACAATATGATATGTTCTACCTTTTATGTTAAGCTTTCCCTTACAATTATGTTATATGGTTTTTCTTATTTTGTAAGGATATCCTAAAAAATTATCACTTTTTTAAAGAATATATTACCTACTAAAAATAACAATATAAAGTGAATCTGGACTCACACAACTTGCTGTAAATATTATCTCAATATCTGACTATGTTTCCACACTATAGAAGACAGATACAAACTATTACATACTGACCAATAAATGGAAGCTGTGATGGTGAGAGAGAAGGTAGAGAAGGAGAAAAGAAATTCCAGACTTAATTTTTTTCATTCAACTTTATCCACAGTTTGCATCGGTAATATACATTTAGTGTTCCATTTGTGTTTAAATGCATCAGAAAATCAATTAAGATAGATCTGTGACCAATACAAACATTTCTGAATTCTTCAAAAAATTCAGTTAGAAAAATCATTAAACTAGCATTCTGTAAAGATAATTATTAAACAAATGGTAATGCACTTTTATTATTTCAATTCTAATATATCCAACATCACTTCTTGTGCCATACAGTAATAAAATTTAACAGAAATAGCTATCTATTGAATTTTTTAGGGCCTAATAAAATATTTTAGTTTGATTATTCAACCCTCATCAAATCACAAATCCCATTCAAATAATGATAATCATTCTTAATTCAATAACTGATGAAGCAAATATATAACAATCATAAAAACATTTAGAATAAATTTTACAGTTAAAACATTGCTAAAAGAAATATATCAGAGCCTTGGTATAATGTCATTGGAGACTATGATCTGAATCTGCTTTACAGGTGGTATTGCCATTTGGTACAAGAGTAAATGAACTGCCATGGCAAGGTCCTCAGATGGACTCATCTTCAATAGAATTTTGCTTTGCAGTAAAGAATGCTACAGTAAGGTTCTGGTGTATTTTCTCTTTAAAGTAATAATTAACTGACAAGTGAAATGCAATAAGAAAACAGCCTACAATTTTACTACTATGTCAATGATAATTAAACAGAACAACACTTGTCAAATAATTAACACTACATTGATTAATAAGAGAAATTCTATAGCATGGATAACTATGAAAACAGTACAAATAATTGTAGTTTTTAATGGTCACTTAGATTTTAGTTTGCAACACAGTCAAATTTTTTACATTAAAAAATCATCAACTAAGGTACTTATTTGCCATTTCTTACCTATATTACCCAATTTTCCACTAGGGAGATTATGTCAATTAGATCTTTTTTAAAATCCAATGAAAAAACAATTAATCTGCTCAAATATTTAATATAATAAATTACTAATAATTTAATTTTTAAATCTCCTGATCATAAGAAGCTTTAATTCTTTAAAAGCTTCAATTTGAGCCTTGGGGAATATAAAGAACACATCTGTATTCTAAAGCCAAAAATTAATTCTATAGCTTTATGCCAACTGATCAGAAAAAGCAGAGTTCTTCTTATACCAATCATTACTATACCATTTGGCACACTAGTTTTTACTTTTCATATATGCCCTTTGAAATAGCGAGGCCAACATTTTTAATAAGTTGCATCCATATTAAGAGGTAACAAGTGCAAATGATCACATATTTAAGATATGATACTTGCTTGCCTACTATAAAAGTAATTAAGGGTTCTTCTATAGGAAACTGAGTTATGCAATACAGTAATGTTTTTGAAAAATTCTTGCACTACTACCAATGCACAAGGACTTTGTGTAACATAGTATCTCATGAAAATATGTATAGAATGGTCTGTGTTTAATTCAACATCAAGTTAATTGAGGATAATAAGCTTTACTGGCTTCATCAATGGCCAGACATGGAGTAAAAACCTATTCCTCAACACTGCTCTCTGAATATGTCTAAAGGCAGCACTGATATAATGCTCCTGAAAGTCAAAGTATAGACCAAACCTTTGGCAGTTTTATCAAAGCGTCCTTGATAACTAATACTTTGCTAGTTTCTCAAAAATCTTACTGCTTGTGTAAAATTTTCAATACAGAAATAAAATACTCTTCAAATAATACATTTTAAAAAATGATTATGTTTTGCAAAATTAAATAGCATAAATTAAGCATATTAACATCGGTTTTTGACAACATGAAACAACCAATTTAAGGAAAACTGCAATGGACTAACAAAAGAAACCACAAATGTCACAATGTGAGGCACATTTTAACCCTCACACATTATCGACCTTATAAAATCTACTAAAATATTTTAAAGTTCCATTGATTCTATTAATACATAAAAAGAAATTGCAAAAATGCTTAAGACTATATGAGTCATCAATTACACAGGCACTTCACATGTAAACAATCTACAGTACAACTGAAAATATTTTGGCACCAACCTATAATACTAAAAGAATTTATTATAAAGTCAGAGTTCTGTTTTTCCTACTCATTTTTTTCTAGAAAACTAAGACCAAAGATTGAAGAAATTGTGTATAAACTAGGATTAGAAGTGTATTAAATAACTCAAATATAGAATTGTTTTAAACTGCTAAAAAACAATTACCTTTATCCACGTGTTTACTAGTATGCTATGATGTAAAAAAATTAAACCTAATGTGATTATTAAATTGAAATTACAGTTTAAATTTAGTATCAATCTGCTTTCTGAAAAATAATCAAGGTTATCAACTGACTTAGTAAAAAGAGAATTTGAGTTTATCAAAAACTCTTAGTAAATTAATCCAGTTTTCCTCCAAAAGAAGTTTGGGCAATTAAAAATTTAAGTTTGTTGTTTTGATGTAATTTTTTTAAAACCCTAAGGCTTCACCTAAGGCAAACATTTTTTGACTGAACATTCTTATTCATGAATTTGAGATATCTGAAATCACTTCAAATAAATGGAACTATATACTTATAATTTTAAAATGTTATATCAAGCCATAGAAAGTTGAGATGCCTTGGTTGAAGGTAGTTCAAGGAGCGCCTGAACTGTGACACCAACTTTCACAAGACCTCGTTCTTCCAAAATATGATGAGGCAAACAGAGTCTTTCCTGGGGAGGAAAAAAAAGATATTTTCTTTTTATAGCAGTGTAGTAAAACTTCATTCTGTTTATAGCAGTGTAAAACTTCATTCTGTTTATAGCAGTGTACCAAATGCAGCACATGTATACTTGACTATTCTGACATATCATTCCTTTCATTAATGCCTATCTTGAAACCTTACCCTCCCTTGTCTCCTGTGACACCACTTTCTACTTTAGCTTTTCTGACAGCAACTGTGCAGTAGCTTTCATTTGCCTTCACTGCTCCTCTACTAATATCCTAGATGTTTCCAAAAGAACTGTCTTCATCCTCTTCTAACACTATATCCTCTTCTTGGGATTCTCATATATTCCCATAATTTAACTATTCCTTCCATCCTAATGACTTCCAAATCATTTCTTTCCTCCCATGATCTCTCTACTGAACTCCAAATACAAATGCCAACTGAACACAGCCAAATGGATATCCAACAGACATAGCAAAATCAACATAATTACCTCAATACATACAGAAAAAGCATTTGATGAAATCCAATTTCCATTGCTAAGAAATTTCAGCAAACTAGGAATAAAGTGAAATTCCTCATTCTGGTATAGGACATCTATAAAAATGGCACACCTAACATCATACTGAAGGGTGAAAGACTGAAATTTTCCTCAAAAAGTAAGACATAAGATAAGGATACTTAAAAAAGATAAGTACTCTTACACCTCTATTCAACATTGTACTAGAAGATCTGGCAATTAGGCAAGAAAATGAAATAAAAGACATTTGGATCAGAAAGGAAGAAGAAAAAATATTTCTATTCATATGTAACATGAACATCCATATGGAAAATTCTATAAAATCTACAAAAAGCTAATAGAACTGTAAACAAGCTAAGCAAGACTGCAAGATACAATATCAATATATAAACACTAGTTGTATTTTTATATATTAGCAACAATCAGAAATTAAATTAAAACCAGTAAACCACCATATATACAAAAGCATGCAAAATACAAAATACTTAAAGATAAATCTGCAAGATCTATGCAGTAAAAACTACAAAACATTGCTGAGGTAATTAAAGAAGACCTAAGTAAATGAAGGTATTACTTTGTTCATGGAAAGGCAGATTCAATATTGTTAAGATGTAATTCTCCATGTATTATTCTATAAGTCCAATATAATTCCCGTAATAATCTCATAAATTTTCTTTGTCTGTAAAAGGTGACAAGCTAATATTAAATTTATATGGAAACACAAGGGACCCAGAATAGCTAAGACAGCTTCAAAAAAGAA